TTACCTACCCAAGCTATGCCATAAATAGGGTGTTATTTTTCACTAGTCCGGAAAAGTTAGTCTTATCCAAGTAGATTCAATTCTATATCCATCATTTTTATGCTTAAATTTAAAGTASCAGATCAGCTAAGAACACGCCATAGCTGTTGTCTTCTTTTTTTATTGTTATTTATGAACACAAATTGTAATAATGGAAATAAGTTCMCAAAAATTGGAAGAATTCACCACCTAAATATTGAATACGCATGTGCAAGTTCGCGCATTTGACTATTGAGGCGCTACAGACAAAGACTAAAATACTTTTTTTAATAACTCTATGGCAAAATTTCTCTAGAATATGGTCAAATCGATCGTTTTCAGTCGTTTCCATGAGATTCAAAAGATAAAAAACCACTGGCCATGTTGGAGGAATGAACAATAGATACTAATGAGAAATCCTTTGTTGAAGTTCCTCCAAGATGACCRCTGTGACGTAAATTGAAGACGAGGAATATTAGTCACATGATTGGTTATTTACTTTGACAGGTGGTGCTAGTCCTCGTAAACGCGCTGCCAAGTCTGCCCCAGGACAGTCCAAGACGCACATGCCTAACGTGAAGTCAGCGCCTGAACAAAAAGAAGAGGTAAAGTTCCTATGGGGGAATCTAGCATCCTCCGCAGACATTATTAAGAATCACGGGCTTCCTGTCTTTTTGGGGTGTCAAAAGAGGGAGAATGGGGGCGAGAAGTGGAGTCTCTCTCGTCACTAGTAAATATGTATATGAGAATTGACCTCTTAACCTTTTACGCCACTACTTGATTTTCAATGCATTATGGGATCAGTTTCTAGAGAAAACAAAAGAAATCCGCCGTGTTCTGTCCCAAACATATCTTACAATGCATTACGTATACGGTACATAACGTAAAATCTTCTTAGGACTATTGGCAGCACAAAATGGCGGCAAATATCTAAAACCTATTTGATGCGCTTTGTGTTGGAAGACAACGTTTCGCGGGCTAAATATCGCTTAAACGGTTATGTACTTCTGTAAAACTCAAATTCTATAAACATGTGTTTTTATGAATACAAAGGACTCACTTTGTCTTTTCTCATTTGGCGAAGTTTGAAGACGCGTTAGGCAGCGATTTCATCAGGTTTTCGAATTTTCTTCCCCTACTTATAAGATATAATGAGCTTGGGTTGCCTGTGTGGCTTACTTATATGACTGTCAAACCTTAGTCGAAGACGTTTGTGTTGAAATTTCTCATTCATTCATTCATTCTTTTATTTTATTTTATTCATTTTTTTTCAGATATCAGTGTCAGCAATCCCATCAGTCATCCCACGAAAGTCGTCAGTTCTCCGCGCTGCCTCGGCGTTGGGTATCATAAATGAGAGACCAAAGTCGATCGTATACACTCCCAAGAGAGCCTGGCTACAACAACCTACAACGGTAAAACCTCACTTCAAGGTCCTCCACAGGCATCCCGAGAAAAGAGAGGGAGAAAAGATGGTGTCTCCCATTTAGTCTCTCCCTCTCTTTCTGTTCTATCCTTCCTTTTACATGTCATATCTTAGAAAAACACCGAGGAGTCTGACGCAAACATATATGGGTTTTCCAGCTCCTCCTGAGAAAAGAGGGGAAGAAAGATTGTGTCTTCCTTTTTCTCTTTCAGCTTTACCCTTCTTTTTAAATGTCATATCTCCTAAAAACACCTAGTACTCCGACGCAAAC